AAATTCACAAAGACATAATACCCTGAACACCTTGTAGTGTAGAGTATAAAGATTCTCAACTAAAAATTCTGTTAGATGCTTCAAAGACAGCAAAAACAAAAACTCTAAATATTAGTAACATAGCCACGGCAATGAGTGGCCAAAGCTACGATCAATAATTATATCATTGATTCGCAGTTGGATTGTTTGTCAGCGAATTGAAATTATGCGGTCTCCAACGAATATTTCAAGGCGTTGCAAATGGATTAGCATTGTTAATATGCCCTCATTTTATGGCAGAGGGTATAAAATGCAGCTTGTATGGCAAAATTTTTGCAGAGGGGGGTTTGTTTCAAAAGGTGCTTTTGGTTGATATATTCGAAATATTTGAAACCAGAGATGCATGGAGATTCCACTAAATGTGAACCCAGTGTGTGGTCTTAGATTTTTCAATAAAATAATTTATTTTAATTTTTGAGGAATCATTGAATTTATTTAATGCCAACGAATCATTGAATAATCCTACCTGAAGTTTATAATTTTAGCAATCGCTTGATCGAATGAAAAATTACCCTCTCTCCTCAAATCAAATACTTACTCTCCCTTTTAAATTCATAATGTATTTTGAAGTCAATGCAACTTTCATAAATGTGCACATTTACACATTCAAAATACCCCTTAAGGGCATACACAATTTTGTATATATTAATTTTCAATAAATCCAAATAATTAACGATTGATATTTTCGATTTGATACAATATTTTTATTACACACATTACAACACTTTGTAAAACAAATGGCTCAGGGTTACATTGATTAGTTTCTTTGATTGACAAAACAAACATGGCCGACTTGGTGTTAATGACAGAGATTATTTGTCATTGATTTTGACACTTGGACAAATAACACTTAAAGTTAATTAGGCAGAATTGTATTTTTAATTTTGTAATTGGCTTTGTAATCGATGTTGTTTTTGTTCATTTCATGTATGCCAACAGGAATTTCGAAAATACTCATTGAAACTGTCAGTCAAATAAAATGTTACCGTGCCCTATGCAATTAAGCGCTTTTAATTAGTAGTAGTTGCAAATGAATTAGACATAATTTTTTTTCTAGTGACAAATATATGAAAATAAATAATCGAATAAAGTAATAAGTAATCGGTTTAAGAAGAAGAAGAAGTCGGGCGGGGCCGACTTTATGATACCCTATACATAACAAATAAACATTTTTATCCGGAATTCGCCAGAATTAAATTATACCAACTATGTTTATGGTTATAATTTAAAGTCCAAAGTAAATAATATATGAGAGGAATACCCTCCTCTTAATCGATTTCTATTAAATTTGCCTTTTCAATTCGGGCTTGTAATATCCATTTTGTGCACAATTAACTTGAAAGCGGATAAAGATATATATGGAAGCTATATCCAAATCTGATCCGATCTCCATAAAATTTGCCAAAGGTATTTCTGAGTGAGTGATATATTTGATCGAATATCGTTGTTACGGAGGGCATATTATGGCTGTGGAGAACAAATATGACAAATCCGATGGACAATATATATGGGAGCTATAGCTACATCTGAACTGATTTTCACCAATTTAACATACTTGTTTCTAGACTCAATTTGGTCGTAACGTCCATACAATTTGAGCCGATCTTACACGTTCGGTGCAGAATAATAGGAAAATCGGACGAAGATATATATGGAAGCTATATCCAATTCTGAACCGATAAGCTGTAAATATGATATATTTCCCCTAATATCGTTGTTACGGCTGTGTAAAACAAACATAAAAAATCGGATAAAAATATATATACGAGCTATAGCTATATCCGAAACTATTTTCACCAAATCTGACACGCTTGTTTGGCAAAGGTATTTCTGAGTTTTATTTGATATATTTCCTCGAATATCGTTGGAGAAGATATCGGACGAAGATATAAGAGCTATATCCAAATCTGAACCGATCTCGATATAATTTGCCAGTGGTATTTATACCCTACAACACTATGTGTTGGGGGTATTATAAGTTTGATTGGGCCAAAAATTATGTAACACCTCGAAATATTGGTTTCCCACATAGGAAAGTATATATGGATCTTCCTATCTCGCCGAGCTGAGTCGATCTAGCTATGTATGTCCGTCCGTCTGTCCATGTTAATATGTAATCACTCTACAGGTCGTAATTATGGTCCGAATCCTCACGAAACTAAAAATGGAGAAGGGGTTATGGCCAGAATAGAACCCTATTGCTTTTGGAGATGATCGCATAATATTTAGGTTCTGAAATGGACCAAAAACTGAAAAATTTCCTGATTTTGCAGTTGCTCTACAGGTCCCAATTATGGACCAATCGACGCGGAAGTTAGCTTGGGGCTAGAGCTTAGAGGTGGCTAGAAGCCTTCCAATTTTGATGGTCATCGGGTAATATTTAGTGGGTGAAATAGACCATAATATTTGTGTTAAGTAATAGTCAAATTTTCCTTTAAACCGCGAATATTTTTAATACCAACGAAATCACAAATAGACGAACAGATCAATTCTGACCATTACGTCGATACCGATAGTAAATATATGGGATATATATAACGAAATATATACAATGTATATATACCAAGGAAGGGGATGTTAGCTAGAATGCTAATATGTCAAGAATGGCTGGACCGATTCTGATAAATTTTGTCAATTCAGAATGCCTTCTTGTCATAAAAGTATAAAATCTAAAAAAAATAGCATAAAGAGATTTTGAATAATGGTGTTAATATAAGTTTAGTAGTTAATATAGGTTTTGTAGTAGTGCGGTTGTAAGATTTAGAAGATTTTCCAAAAGAATTTTAGTTTTATGTAATTCTTTTGTTCCTCTTCTATTGAGCTTACGATCTCGTCACTTGGGTAAAAAATGTTTTTTTTCATAGAAGTTATTTTTTTTTTAAATAACTTCTGGGGAGAATATCCCAGACAAGAAACAAGGGAACTGATGAGGATTGGTGGCTCTTTCCGAAACCTAGGTATTCCCTGCCTTACCCCCTGGTAAACATTACCATCGTTCTCCACTCATAAACAAATGTTGTTTTTATAAAAACAACAATAATGGGATTTTGCCTGACGATTTTGCAACAACAAAATACTATGGTATCCCAAACAAGCAAGCCAAACACTGTTCAGTTTGCGATATTTTTTTTATTTTTACATATTTTTTATCGCATGCGATTTTTTCAATTTGACTTAAAATATTGTACATTTTGCAATATTTTTCAACTTACAACACAGGCTGGGGTTATATACAGATTGCAATTATTATCCGATCCTTACGAAAATGTTCACAAGGGTAAGGCTCAGAAGGGATAATCCTATTGGTTTTAAAGATGTCCGCAATGTATTTGGCGGTTAAAATGGACGAACAACTAAAAATGTTCCTGATTTTGCAGCCGTTATAAAGGTCACAAATAGAAATCAAAGCACACGAATGGACCACTATTTTTGTATGAAAAAATACCAGCATTACTCAAAATATCGTAGACAAGGAAATCATATAGATGAGTCTAAATTTAGAGATACAGAGGAGCATCTTGCTTTTAAAGATGATTGGAAAATATGTAGGGGTTCATATGAACCAAAAACAGAAAAAAAAATCCTGATCACACAATTGAAGCCAATCGACACACCTGAGAAAAGAGTTAAGGACAGGGAAGTATTCAAGCATTTTGGATGGAAAATGGACCAAAACAACTAACAGCATGACGGAGTGCTTAAATATTGGGCAAATGTCCTTGGTCAGGTCAGTTCGCCGTGACATAATTTCAAAAGCGAAATCTTCCAAAATCGATCTGGATATAAGGGGGCTTCTAACATATTGTAGTGTTGTAGGGTATCACATGGTCGGGCCCGCGCGACTATAGCCTTTGCTTACTTGTTTTGAGCTCTATTTGATATGTTTTCCCAAATATCGTTATTACAGTGTGCATACGTAGACTGTGGAGGATAAAAATAATTAATCGGATGAACAATATGTATGGGAGCTATAGCTATATCTGATTGCGATAAAATTTGGCATATTAATGTTTGGGCCTAATTTGGTGGTAAGTGTAAAATTCCATACTATTTGGGCTGATATTACACGTTTGGTGCACAATAAAAAGCAAATCGGACGAAGATATATATGGGAGATGTATCTAAATTTTGACCGATTAACTCCAATTTCATAGGGTTCGTCCTTGGGTCAAGTAAATTATTTGTGCAAAATTTCATCAAGACTTAAACTTCTCTCAAAAATTATTATTAAAGGTCTAGTCCGCATATAAAGGACTACATTTTTAGGTCACCCCTCCTATATTTTGTCAATATGGAAATAGGGTAACTCATTCGGTTCTCCCCTGATTCTTAAGTTCTTAGCTCTCATTTAGACGTTGTCCATGGACTCTAAAGTTACTATATATATTATCTATTACACCACATTGCTGACCCATTTTTTTTTTTGCAATGAAGGCCATAAACATGTCATTTGTCGACGACATTTTTTACAACATTCCAGGTCAATGGATTTAAAAGCACCCACAATTTTCTTACGTCAAGTATTATTTATATATGTACAATTTAATAATTCCCAATTCATGGAATGTTTACGTAGCAGAAAAAATGCTCTTATCAATATTTATTTAAAGACTTTTCAATATTTTCTATGGCATTCTAATTATCCTATTGGAGAAATATTTGTTCATTAAAATGTTATTTTAAAATATGAAATTATTTTCAAAGAATTCCATTAAGAAGAAATATTACGCATTGTAAGTAAGAATATTAAAAGTTGTAATACTTTTTTGGTGTGTTCTTGGCAATATTGGTTATTTGCAAGCTTTTATTAATAATTATTTTCTTCGAAAAAAAAAACAGTCGTCTTACACATTTAATAACTTAGTAGATGTTTAATGCATCAAATTCGAATCGATTACTTTGAAAAATTATTCATCCATAAACGAATGAATTTTTCATTCATAAGCGTATATAAATGTATGTGTGGCCAGGCAGTCATGGCCGCACTGACAAACAAATAAAATAAAACGCAAGTTGTGATACAAAACTAAAAATTACTTAAATATATTGAACACATTTGGATTTCCTATACGCATTTACGCTCTTACGAACAAATATAATACCGCAACCGCAAAAACCCCATTAAAGGTTTGAACAAAATATTATAAAGTTTCCTTTCGAAAACACCGAACACACATACAACGGAATTTTTGGGAATTTTTCAATAATTTTAATGTGTTTTATGCCAACTATTCTATTGCCTGACCACCAAGCATTGGTAAATGTATCCTGTCACCTGATTACCGGAATACTTAAGTAAAGTGCTGTAAACTTGCTTGCTGGACATAAAAGGTGCCACAACTTTATAACATTCTCCAAAGCAAGGAGCAGCGGCAGCAGCAACGTCAACAAACCCATAATATCGTGTCCAAATCACAACCAGCTTTTTGGCACCGCATTCACATATCTCTGTCGTACTGTGAAAAGGGGACTACAAACGGCCAGTTGCAACTACTCCTCTCTAGCCTCAAGTAAATTTCAGTCCAGTTGGAATATTACCAATATTATAAAGCAGTCATTATTTGTGTGTGTGTATTGGCAGAGTAGATTCAAGGACATAACTCCATAATGAGAGCAATAGCAGTGCTTTATGGCATATTACTTGTGGCCATAATCTTTATGGTCGGTGCACAAAGTCAAACAGTTCCACGTCGAGATGAAACCGTAAGTTGTTATTATTTGTGACATGCATTCATGTCCATATGTACGTATGCATTGTCTGTGTTTTCCTTTTTTGGATTCTCCAGTTTGTTTGTGTATACACTTATTAAAGCAATGCACAGTGTTTTTTTTAGCACAGAATAGTGCGACATTTAAAATTACTGTTTGGGAAATAAATGTCTAGAGATTGATAACCCTTTCATTACTCAGTCGTCCCAAGTAACAAATATTTTTTAAAGACAGGGAATATTCATAAAAGAAATATTAAGTACTTCGTTTTATAACCTCTTAGTATGGAGGATATATTAAGTGTGTCATTCCATTTGTAACACATCGTAATATACAATTTAAAAACCAAAAAGTGTATATATTCTGGATCAGCATAAAATTCTACGTCGATTTTGCGATGTCCGTCCGTCTGTGGAAATCACTTTAGCTTCCGAACGAAATGAAGTAGGTTGATAAAATTTTACTCAAATGTGTATTATGCCTGCAGGAAATAAAAGTACCTCCCTTTTTTAGGTATTTCGATGATTTTAGCGACATTATACACCGAAATTGTTTCAAATTTGGTATTTGAAGTTCGTAATGGATACTAGAGCCTATGACAGAAAATTATCTGTGCAGGTCCACGTCTTTGTAAAGCCCCAATATAACGGTACATCCCAATATTCGGTATTTTGACGATTTTAGCTTCCTTATTCGCCGATTTTTTTATTCAAGTTTCGCATTTGAGTATTGTATTGGTTTATGACAAAAGTTGCCTATGCAGGTTCACGTCATCGTGTAGACCCTAATATAGCGGCTACATTCGGTATTTTAAAAGAATTTTTAACGGATTTTATTTTTTTGAAAATTGCCAAATTCGTTCTATATCGACAAGGCCGAACTTACAGCATTTTTTACTTGGTTAACATGAAAAACATATTATCAATATTTAGTTTAATCAGCTCTGAAAAATTTACGCTCGACCTATTTCGGTAAAATTCATGTAAATATATTTGCTAAAATATTGTTTTTTGTTTGTGGTAAAAATTCTTAGGTATTAGGTAGGGCTGTTGCACTAAAATTCTTAATTCAAGTTGATAGCTACAATCTACACGAAATTTAGTACCACTTAGTACTTTCGTATTTTTTTTATGTATTCCCAAAACCACCTCCAAATCTCAACCCCACGCACTAACAGGGACCTTAATGAAAAATTTCACATTTGAAACACTTTCCACTCTCACTCAACATAGGCAGACGTAATTTATTTTTTGACCAGAATCCCAATCTAGTACCACCTGGTACTTTTCAAACAAATATAAGACGCATTTCCGAAACACAGCCAGATATCAAACGCAAATATCATCATAAATCTAAATATCAAATGCTGCATTTTATCTCCATTCCTTCATCCAATACCAAATATAGTACCATACAGCAATTTTTGTATAATTATAGTCCACATTTCCGAAACTACCCCTATATGTCCAGGCTAATACCAAATTTCAGATTTCAAACATAGTACTATTCGTGCATTTGTAGTAAACATTTCCAAAACAACCTCTTTACCGGAAACGTACCACCAACAGGGATCCCGATACAAAATTTCAAAATTGCAGCTTCATTCGTTTAATATAAAGCAGACTATTCCAAATTTAGTACGATTTAGTAAAGTTTGCACATTTATTAGACATTTCCAAAATCACCTATCATAATCACCCATCATATCAATCTTACTTTCATTTTCACACCAATTTTCAAGTTTCTTGCTCTATCCTTTTTTTTAAAAAAACCAAATCGTACCATTTTTGAACTTTTCGTAACCTTAAACGTCAAATTTCTTCAATCTTGACATATTCCAATAATATACCATTTGATCTCGCAGGAAGATATATCCCTCCACTCCTTCTGGTACCCCTAACAAAAAGGACTAATAGTTTTATAATCATAGCTCTTAAAAAATGCAAAATAATTCCACAGTTCTCTTTTTGCAATATTTATACCCTTAGCCATACGCCTACAGAGGATATCATCAGGATATAATTTCATACGGTCAAAACGTGCCCAGTCCCTAGGTCTCTTTGGACCAAGTCCGTTTCAGGACTTTTGGAGTCAATCTATCGATGTCCGTCCGTCTGTCTCTCTGGCTGGCTGGCTGGCACGACAACTCTCGAAAGGAGTATCCGATTTGGTCCAAACTTGGTACATCGTAATATTGTTGTCAAACTTAGATCGAGTTCGGGGATGGGCAATATCGGTCCACTCCAAATGTGATGTAAGAGTACGGTTGTCTTTAAATTTCACACATCCCAATATTTTTATTAACCCAAGGCCTGGTATTAAGATGGAATATACCGGTCCGCTCCTTTTGGGAATTCCCCCACAAAAGGTAAAAATTTTCAAAAATTTTTGAATAATTATAACTCTTATAAAATGTGATGTAAGAGTCCGATTGTCTTCAAATTACATACATCACAATATTTTTACTAACCCAAGGTCTGGTGTGAAAATGGAATATATCGGTCTACTCCTTCTGGTTCCTCCCCCACAAAGGATCAAAATATTGAATATCGGACCATTTCTTCTGGAACCTCCCCCACATAGGTTTCAATATTTTGAAAAACAAAACTCTAGGGAAGAAAGCGAAATAAGCACCCAACCCTCTTCAATTTCCACAATTGCTAACACAAGACCTGTTGTGAAGATGATATATTTCCCAAAAAAGGATCACAATTTTCAATACTTTTATCTGTCATAACTTGCGAAACATGTCAGCAATTCTTTACAACTCGTTATGCCTAAATATTTCTCTGACATGAGCATGAAATTTATCGGAATTTATGATTTCACATAAAACTGGATATAAATGTTCGATTTTCTTGTAATTTTGCACATATCAATATTTTTATCTGTATTAGATGAAGTATAAAAATGGAAAACTTCGGTAGACCATATCTGGTACCTAATGCACATTTTAACATTTTCTAACAATGATCATGTATCTCATATAAAGTGAAGGAAGAAGTCGATATAGTTAATAACTGGCACATCGCAATATTTATATTATAATCATAACACAAGTCATAATATATTTTAATAAGCGAGCATAAGCTGAGGGTATATATCTGTCGGCAAACCCGACTGATACTTTTTAACTTGTTGTATTAATATTAGATCAATTATATATAAAGATGAGACAGATATTTTTGGCAATCGTAACTACATACAAGTATTCCTACTTACCCATTATTTTTACAAGGGCATTCCACATATCAGGTTTGACTAAATCCACCAATAATTCTTGAAATAATCCAAAACTCTCTATAAATTCTCAAAGCTCTATATATAATGATACAAAATACATATTAAAATATTGGATACCCTTTGCCTATGGAAAAGCATGCATAAAAGCCTTTGAAAGATTGGCTTAATAACTCCAATATGTTAACCCTTAAATTGTATTTTTAATATATAAGAGTTCCCAGAGCTATTATGAAATTTAGACGTCCGATAACTTGTTTACTTACTTACTTACTTTACGATTAAATTTTTCATAACGATGATATACTTGTCTTCTACTTTAATAATCCACTGGATTTTCCTGTAATTATTTTTGGTGTTGGACAGTATTATTTATATTTTCTCCATAGACCATATTTTATTTTGAGATCCATGTGCTCTACCAATTTCTTCACATAAAATGGACATTGCATTCAAAGTCATTCGTAGAGAATTACTTAGACACGCCACATGCACATATGGATGTGCATATGTATATGAAATTTATGTATGTGCATATATGTTTTTCTTTTGATGGTTATATACTTTCTGCAGTACATTCCAACCATCATCATCGTCGTCGTATCTCTGTTGCTATTATAAATTTTTATTTTTTTACAGTTTATGTCTCTCTTTAACAATATCCTTCTTCACAGTTCTTTTGCTTTCGTTTTGTCATTTCATTTATGGATTTCTTTGGCAATTGCACTATCTCTCCGCTTTTTACGTTACTACGGACATGACATATTGACTTTTCCGTTATTTCGAAATGGGGTAACTTATGCCAAATATCAGAAAACTGATTTCGAAGAGGGATTTTGTTTAAGAGTTTCACACATTGCTTTAATATTTTGTTACGTTTTACTCATTGCAGTGGGGTTTTGCTGCTATCTACTTTAGTTAAGACAAAATTAAGTTATGAAAATATTATGGCTATAATTTTAACTTTTCCTTCTTTTTTCAGTATCCGCCACCGGAACTTTTGGCCAAACTTAGACCAGTGCATGATACTTGCGTTAGCAAGACGGGTGTAACTGAAGGTATGTGAAAAGTGTAATTTTTAGTTACTGTTAATTTTAGCATAATTAAAATAAAAAGATATCCTCTAAAAGACCATTAAGGATAAGAAATATATCAATAAATCCGATAACCAAACAAAAAATTAATTAATTAACTAATTCATATCCATTTTAAAATCTTGACAATTTCAATATATAAAACAATGTGGACGTCTACAAAGATCCTTAAGAGGTATTCAATATATAAACATGTAAGGAAAACTAAAAAGTCGGGCGTTGAGCTCCCACCTATCAACATTTGGCTTTAGAGTAGTTATAGTCTTCTATTGAGTGCATGATATCACTTGGAGAAGGGTTATATTTAAAAAATGGAAAATGGAAACGTACCTCTCGAAATTCACTTTATTTGAGCTGATATTAGCCATTATTTGCACAATTAACCCGAACTCGGTTGAAGATATATTTGGGACCTATATCCAAATCTGAACCGATCTTGATAAAATTTGGCGGAGGTATTTCTGAGCTCTATAAGATATCTGGTATCAAATACCATTGAATATCATTGTTGTCGAATGCAAATAATAATTTTAAGGAACTTAAACACCAATGGGAGCTAGATCGGAGCTATATCTATATTTAAAAAATGGAAAATGGAAACGTACCTCCCGAATTTCACTCCATTTGAGCTGATATTAACCATTATTTGCACAATTAACCCGAAATCGGGTTAAGATATATATAGGACCTATATCAAAATCTGAACCGATCTTGATAAAATTTGGCGGAGGTATTTCTGATCTCTATAGGATATCTGGTATCAAATACCATTGATTATCATTGTTGTCGAATGCAAATTACAATTTCAAGGGACTTAAATACCAAATGGGAGCTATATCTATATCCGAACCGATTTTTTACGAATTCGACGTACCTGCTTCTAGATTTAATTCGGTGGGATGTACCAACATTCAGGACTTTTGGACTGATATTGGCCATTTGGCACCCAATTTACCCGAAATCGGTTTAAGATATACATGGGACCTGAACCGATCTTGATAATATTGGCAGAGGTATTTCTGGGATGTATCTGATATCTGGTAACAAAGATCACTGTTGTGGAATGCATATTACGCCTGTTAGGGACTTTAAGCCCAAAATCGGATAAAACATATATATGGGAGCTATAGCTATATCTGAACCGATTTACACCAAATTTGAAATACTGGTTTATAGGATGAATTCAGTGGAAAATGCCAAAATTCAGTCTATATGGGTACCAAATGGCGCACAATAAACCTGATGAAGATATACATGGGAGCTATATCCTAATCCAAACCGATCTCGACAAAATTTGACAGGGGTATCGGATGAAACATATATATGGGAGCTATACCTATAACTGACTCGACTTTCTCTAAATTTGAATAACTTGCTTCTAGACTGAATTCGGTGGGATGTACCAAAATACAGGTCATTTCGACTTATATTAACCATTCTGTGCACAATTAACCCGAAATTGGTTGAAGATATATGGGAGCTATATCTAAATCTGATTCGATTATAAATAATTTCAATAGGGTTTATCCTTGGGCGAAACAAATATTGTTTGGAAAATTTCATCTCAATCCGATAATAAATGCGACCTGCATTTTGTTTACAAGGATACATGGACGGACGGACTGGCATGCGTAAATGGACTCAGAAAGTGATTCTATGAATATCCTCAAAAGTAACTATGGGTCTATCTCGCTTCTTTCTTCATGCACAAAGACATAATACCCTTTCCACTATGCGTTCAGGTATTAGTTTGGTCTTCAATGTAAAATACCATTTACTATTCATAGACGGGAAACTCCTCCAAAAAGTGGACGTTACGACCCATTTTCTGTACCAATTATTCTGGATTTAATCCAAAGATCTCTATCAAATTTTGCATTTTTATCCTAAATTTTGCAAAGTACAGGGTCTCCGGATACCAATCCGTTGGATTATTATGTCTGAAGTATTTTGGAAAGCAAGCTTTGCACTAAAAAATACCAAAGTGTTGATCATCTCAAGCAATCGCTTCGCCGAGAATGGGCCAAAATACCGCCGAGCAACATTCGGGCAGCGTGTGACATTTTCATTGGCCTTTTGAAGGCCATAATTCTTGCCAAAGATGACCAATTCAAAAAATCCAAACTTATTCTAAAATTTGATTCTATTTCCGACATTTTTTGCTTTCATTCAATAAAATTTTAAAAAATGTAAAAATTATGGCGTTTGACTTTGTTGCAGTTTTTTTTATCTCACCATGTAGTTTTCATTTTTATTACTTCATAAATTTGAATCATAATTTACATAAAAACTATTGTCCCTAGATACAGGGTTTGTTCTAAAAAACTTCTTCTATCGACACCTTCCGCCTAAAATGACATTTAATGAAACTATCTGGAGTGGTATAGCTGGTAAAAAATGATAGCTAACACACTTTCTAAGAACCAGATTACAGAATATCTCTCCCCCATTTCGGAAACACTTTTTTACGCAAATCTACTTCAATTACTGCATAACAATATTCTAATGTATTTCCATTACATTGGGTTACAACCGAATTTTACTGTATTCATTTTCATTTTCCTTTTTTTCAAACCATCTTACACCCGTTCTAGAGGCAATTAAAAAGTTCAGCGATGAGGAAATACACGAAGACGAACTGCTCAAGTGCTACATGTATTGTGTATTCGATGAAATGGATGTGTTGCATGACGACGGTGAGGTACACCTGGAAAAGGTATTGGATCTGATGCCCGACTCCATGCATGACCTGGCAATAAACATGGGCAAAAGGTGTCTCTATCCAAAGGGTGATACGACCTGTGATAGAGCATTTTGGTTGCACAGCTGCTGGAAAAAAGCTGATCCCGTGGTAAGTGTCAGCAGTGTTAGTTAAACAATTAATGCCAATTAAACGAACACCTTCAATACAATTTTCAGCACTACTTTTTGGTTTAACGTCCTTTCGTTCTGCTGTTGCCGTTGAGATGATGGCAAAAATTTACTAGAAAGTAATAAAGTTTAATGGGATACACAACAACAAGTACAAGGGTTTGGTATATTGTAGCTGATAAGATGTATTATTTTATTTGGAATAAATTTAAATTGTGTTTTATTTATTTATTTATTTATTTATTTTTTTTTGTAAAATCCATTATTATATCTTCCACCATACTATGGTGGGTATATTAAATTAGTCATTCCATCTCTAACTCCTTGAAATACTCATGATAGACGCTACAAAGTTTGGGGTTATTATATACAGATTTGTAATTATCGTCCGATCCTCATTAAATTTTCATAAGGGTAGGGTTTGACTCAGAAGGGCAATGCCTGTTGTTTTAAAGATACCCCCAAAATATTTAGGAGTTGATATGGACCAACAACTGAAAATGTACTTGATTTTGCATCTGTTATAAAGGTCACAAATAGAAACCAAAGTACACGAAATCTCGCATGAAGTTAGAGTTTAGGACAGCGGGTAGAATGGACCACTACCAACACTTGCATTCTACCAAAGTGCTGAAAATATCTTACAGGCGAAATTCAAAATACACAAAAGGCGAACTTCTAGCAATTTTTATGCTGAATATATAGCCAAATATCATAGACAAGCAAATCATATAGATGAATCTAAATTTGGAGATATAAAGGGCCTCTCGCATTTGGAGATGATAGCGAAATATTTATGGGTTCAAATGAACCAAAAAATGGAAAAATTTTCCTTATCACACAATTGAAACCAATCGACACGAAATTTTCCATGAGAAGAGAGTTAAGGACAGGGAAGAAGTCTAGCATTGATTTATATTTAGCTGTAACTAACAGCACGACGGAGTGCGTAAATACTGCGCAAATGTCCCTGGTCAAAAGGCTAAAGGTAATATCTGGGCAGTACTCTATGACATAATTTCAAAAGCGCATGGTTGGCTCCACACGACTATGGCCTTTGCTTACTTGTTTGAACTAATATGCATTTCAGGAGTTAAAAAGCACATAGTGAATATTTTGTTAGTTGGTTTATATGTTGGCGATGGCCCCATTATGTACGACAATCTTATAACTGCGATGATTTTTATGGAGGGTTATTTTTTAAGAGTTTTACGATACTTTTCCTGTTCAGAAAAATGAGTGAAATCTTTATTTGAATTGATATCACAGCCCATATGTTGATAGCGACTGCGTCTCAAATAGTCCATCAACTTAGTCCAATTTTGGCATAATTTCCATCCCAACATTTTGGTCGGTACCTCCCGAATAAATTCTTCAATTTTGTCTTCTAATGCAACAATTGGAGCGACTTATCACTAAGCACATGAACTCTAGCATAGCCCCACAAAAAATAAATTTAAAAGGCGTTAAATCGCACAATTTTTCAATTTTATGCAAATAATTAAAATGTTGAAATGGGAGGAGTTACCAGAAGAATGTGGCCTATAAATTCCGTATTCACAGCAGATATCTATATGAGAAAAATATTAAGACATGCCAAGTGTGACAGGAATCGTTGACTTGTGTCAAAGTTATGAGAGATATAAGTACCAGAAGTTGTCGACCAATACATCCCGTCAGATCTTTCGTCAGTATAAATACCGGGAAATATAAAAATTAAAGACAATCGGATGCTAATTTCGCTGTTATGAACGTGTTATTATTCAAGATTTTTACCGTTTGTGGGGGAGGTACCAGACCGATATATACCATCTTTGCCCCAGATATTTTGGAATGTATGATAATTGCGGATGCTCATTTCGCATTTCATGTGAGATATAATTATTTAATATTATGACGCCTTGACGGGGTTCCAGAACGAGTGTTCCGATATATAACATCTTCATACCAGATTTTGTGTTGAAAAAAATATTGAAATGCGCGAATCTAATTATAATTATTCAAAATGTTGACCCTTTGTAGGAGAGGTACGATGGGCCGGTATTTGCCATTTTGCACTGATTCGAATATTGGGAGTTGCAATAAAAGAAAAGAGATAAAGAAAATTAATTTCTAAGAAAATTTTAGCCTTTTGTGGCGGAGGTACCAGTAAGAGTATACCGATATTGGTTATTTCCGAAATTGATCTAAATTTAATAATAACATAACGGTGAACCAAGTTTGGACCACATTGGATACTCTCTTCGAGAGTTATGAAATTTGATATGATATGATGGCTACATGAAGGTGTGGACCCGAAGTGTTCTGTCGTAATGGGTACTTCCCATTTCGAACTCTAAAACCCATATTTGAAACATCTCCCGTGAAAACTGAGACACAAATAATCAAAATACCGAATATCTGGAGGTGCAGTTATATGGGGTCTATACAAAACACATAGTCCTCATTGATAGCAAATTTGGCTTGAAATTGGGACTTAGATCTGTTGGGCCTATACCAAAATATGCGCCTATATAGCCCATTTTCAAAAAGCCTGCAGACCTAAAATCCATCTGAGTAAAATTTTAGAGTGATTTCCATAAACAGACAGATGCTAAATCGACATAGAATTTTATACTCTAAGGGGCCTGAAATGTATACTATGAGGAGTTACAAATGGTGTGGAAACTTAATATACCCTTCATACTATGGTGAAGGTATAAAAATGGGCCATTAAGGGGTCAGATAAAAAAACTGCAACAAAGTCAAACGCCATAATTTTTATATTATTTTTAAATTTTAGAAAAAGTTTAGATTTGTTCGATTTGATCACTTTTTGCACGAAATATGGCCTTCAAACGGCCAATGAAACCGTCACATCCTGCCCGAATGTTGCTTTGCGGTATTTTAGCCCATTTCCGGTGAAGCGCTTGCTTGAATACAAAAAAATACCAAAGTGTCGATCACACTTTGGTATTTTTTAGTGCCAATCTTGCTTTCCAGAATACTCCAGACACAATAGTCCAACGGATTGGTATCCGGAGATTTTAGTGGCCATTGTGCGCTGGAAATGAAGCAAGATCCTCGTTTTGCAACCATTCTTGGGTGGTGCGTGCTGAGTGCGATGGTGCTGATTCCTCTTGGAATGTCCAAGGTCTGAGGCCAAAATTTGTGCATGCCCAAGGCTTTAGTACACCCTCCAAAATATTTTCGCTATAATATTCGGCATTTATTCTGATGCCACGGATGATTATTACAAGCGGAGAGCGACCCTCGGCTGTTATGGCGGCCCACACCATCACCATTGCCGGCGCTTGAGTTCTGGTGGCCAACCGAAGGTGCACATTTTCAGCTAACCTCTTTGGCAAGTAAACACGATTATTTTGTTTGTTTACAAACTGTTAGACAACGAATGTTTTCTTATCGGAGAAAACCAAAATCGGCAGTTCACCACTTTCGACCAAGCGAAGCAACTCTTTAGCTCTTTTGAGTCTATTTTCTTTCTGTTGCGGTGTAAGTTCTCATTTTTCAATGGCTCATTTTTCAATATTTTCCGAATGGAATATTGCGATATGTTCAGCTCACGAGCCAATTTTCGACCACTGCGACGCGGGTTTTTCATCAAGTTGCTTTTTTACTTTTCCAACCATTTCTGTTGATGTTGCTGTTTTCTTCCGTCCACTTCCTTGACGTCGGGCTACGCTACCAGTATCACGTATCACGGTTGCGAGCGATGGTACGAGACTCAAAAGATTTATTCACATTTAAATGCTGGAGTGCTTTAACGATAGCCAGTTGTGGTTTTCCAGCCAAATATAAATAAATAACACTATCACGCTTGAATACCATCACGAATAACTTTTTTCTGGAAAATTCTCACCAAAATGTTTTTGTACGCTTGTGAACAATGTAATGAGCCGTCACTGGAATAATTTTAGCAGCTGTCGGACGAAATGACAGCAGTCTGTAATTAGAAATCACAACAGTCTGAAATTAGTTGCAATTTTTTCATCTCACCCTGCATATCTGCTTTATGTTAAACTTTTCACCAGACTGGTCTAAAATTTTGCAATGGCTATTACTTCCCATGACAGAAAATTGCCTCTACAAGTCCATATAACTGTACTTTCCTATATTCGTTATTTTAGTGATTTGGGCGACATTGATCAAAGGAATTACTTCAAAATTGAGGTTTATTATTTTTCGACGGCATTGTATAAACTTGGTTTTTGAACAAATTATCTACACAGGTCAACGTTTCCCGATATAACTATATACCAATTTTAATAATTTCAGCGATAATTTTCAACGGAATTTCTTAATTTATTTATTTATTTATTTATTTTTTTTTTTTTTTTTTTGCTTCGCATTGACCATTGCTTTTTTCATGGAGGATTTGAATCAAATGTCCAATTGGCTGGATCTTTCGCTTCATTGCTGTTACAATTTTCATTACAATGTGATATGTTCAAGAGTTGTCAGATCATCCTACCAATTCCACGAAAAGTACAAACATTAACTTTTTGCATTTGATGCAATTTGCTTGCCACTACATAAATATATTATACAAAAATATATGGGTAAATTCAATAAAACCTCAACCACAACAAGTTGTTAAATAAATAATAATAAATAGTTTAATTGAATAAATAAAACATAGCATTTGTCGTTCATCCGTTTAGGGCAGGAAATAGTGCTGGAAATGAAAAGCAAAAAGCAAAACAAATACAATTTTAAATAATCAACGATCGAAAAAAAGAAGTAAGAAGTAAAAATATGTAATGATAATTACCACTGGATCCGTTTGTTTAAAGCAAACATGCCACGACCAAGCTCGTTCGCACTGATTACTACCTTGGGGTACATGCGACTCACAGGCGTCGATAATATGCTGGACAAACTGTGTCAGTTCATCGGGCAAAACGCGTTTCAATTTCTCATAATGAAGCTCCCCATCATCATCGACAATATTTACTTCGTGGAATAAACAATTCATGTAGCATTTTAAAGCCGGATCTTCGTGTATTTCCCCATCGCTGAATTCCTTGATGGCCTCTGCAAAAAAGAACGGACAAAAGCACACAGAAAAAAAACAATAATACATTTGATTCAAGTTAATTTCTCTGTCAATTAAAGCTTAAACAACAAGTCAGGCGAACAACGAACATTAGCAATGAAAAATAGGCGCAAGACAATTTGTGCTTGGCGAATTCGACTGTTTGCAAGCCTATTCCACTAACTTATATATACTTGGAAGAGTGATGAGGACTCAGTAACTTTCAGATATAACCGGTGAAGCTAAAATCTAACAATATTGTGTGTGTGGTTGGGTTTTGACGCGAAAGGTACGGAAAAGCCAAAATGTAGGAAATATTATTTATATGAAACTCTCAATTTTTGTTTGTTGGTATTGTTAAACATTTTCGACAAATCGCATTACAATCGTGATATAACCCAGTGTACCCAGTTTTGACATAAAAGGTATATGGTCTGAAAATCTACTATGTGGTATAACACGGTTAAAACTTTCTTTTTTAGGAAATTCGTACCAAGAATATACAAAAAATATTAAAAAATAGGAAAAGAACTTGTGGATACAATTGGTATCTCTATACATAAAAGCAAGTTGTGTTAGTTACTGCGTTTATAACTCAACAACCGCTGGTGTTATTTAACCGACTCCGGAAAGTTCGGAATTATCTCTTGGCAGAAAAAGAAATTTTTCATTTTGATTTCTGGAATGTACAATTGTAATGTTTTATGTTCCATATTTTTTTTTTTTATTTTGTCTCAATATTTTCGAATATATAGCGAAATTTATACAATGTGTATATACGAAGGAAGGGATGTTAGTTAGAATGCTTATATCTCAAGAATGGCTGAAAAATCGCAGAAAAATATTTATTGGTATTTTGTAAAATTTCTTACTTCTTCACATTTTTTATGCGATTTTTTCAATTTGACTCATAATATTTTGTAATATTTTTTCACTTTACAACACAGGTTGGGGATATTATATAAATATTGCAAATATCGTCCAATCCTCACGAAAAGGTAGGGTTGGGCTCAGAAGGGCTAAGCCTATTGTTTTCAAAGATGTCCGCAATATATTAGGGCTTGAAATGGACCAACAAAATGTTCCCGATTTTGCAGCCGTTATAAAGGTCACAAATAGAAACCAAAGGACACGAAATCTCGCATAAAGTTAGAGTTTAGGAGAGCGGGTAGAATGGACCACTAATTTTGTGTGAAAAATACCAGCATTACTTACAGGCGATATCCGAATTACACAAAAGGCGAACTTCTGGCTTTTTATACCCTACACCACATAGTGGTAAGGGTATTATGTCTTTGTGCATTTGTTTGTAACATGGACAAGGAAGCGAGATAGACCCATAGTTACTTTTGAGGATCTCCATAGAATCACTTTCTGAGTTGATTTATGCATGTCAGTCCGTCCGTCCGTCCGTCTGTCCATGTATTTTTGTGAACAAAATCCAAGTCGCATTTATTATCCGATTGAGATGAAATTTTCCAAACAACATTTGTTTGGCCCAAGGACGAACCCGAATGAAATTGGAGATAATCGGTAAAAATTTAGTTATAGCTCCCATATATATCTTCGTCCTATTTGCTTTTTATTGTGCACCAAACCTTTAATATTAGCCCGAAATGCATGGAATTTTGCACTTACAACCAAATTTATCGAAATCGGTTCAGATATAGCTATAGCTTCCATATATATTGTTCATCCGATTTGTTATTTTTGTCCTCCGCAGCCGTAATATGCACTCTGTAACAACAATATTTGGGGAAATATATCAAATGCAGCTCAAAATACCTTTGACCAATTTTATCAAGATCTGTTCAGACTTGGATACAGCTCCCATATATATCTTTATCCGATTTCAAATTAATTGTGTACCAAATGGGCAATACAAGTCCGAATTTAAGAGATACAAATGCTTCGGTATATTTATTCCATTGAACTTTAAATAATAATTATAATCCTAGCGTGTATGATTGAATTCTCCCATAAAAACTTTTAATTGTTATGCCGAGCTCTACTAAATAAGCAAAGTGGTGTAGGGTATCATAAAGTCGGCCCCGCCCGACGATGTTAAATGACGATCTTTCATGTCTAAAATTGGCATCTAGCTTTCAACTGCAGAACCTACATCATGCTTCATTTGGAAGATGCGAACACATTTAAACAAACAAAAATGACCGACAAAGCATTATGGGGCTCATTTCCAAACGTGGTCATACTTCCTTAAATCGATTTTGCAGGTCATGATATGGGTCACGACCCCCGTATAGGGATACAACCTAATTCCAAGTATATTTTACATTGTAAATTAAAGTTAACTTGTTCATAACAATATCGGCAAATGTTGGTAATTTGAGAAGAAACCAAACTTGAAAAAAATTATCTCTTTTTGGTATAAACATCATCAAAAAATACGAATATTAGAAAGTAGCACGGGACCAGACATTTTTTTTAATCGACATTGAATTATATTATGATGAGAAATATATTTTTTTCATGAATAATTATTTCTAATTAGAAATTACGAATGGAGTCATTACTTATAATAAAAATTGTGCCGCTTACATAAGTCAGATATGTGACTTATTATTCTTTAAAAATATGCATTAAAGACTAAAAGTACGGTCCGGAAAAGCGGACCGGGCCAGCAGGTTTTATATAAAAGTATCTGAACTTAAACTGGTTCCACTTTAAACTAAGACCCTTAACTTTTCAAAAAACCAAGTGGGCGAGGCCTTTATATGGGGGCCATACCAAAACGGGAACCTTGTTTTATACTTCAAGGATTGTCATTTACCAATTTTTCTTGAATACCAAATTTTAACCAATTTCGTGGGTAAATGTTACTAGAATTATCAAAATACCGCCGATATTCGGTATTGTGATAATTCTAGTCACATTTCATTATATGTGCGCTATACGAAAACGGCGACCTTTACATACTATGTTTGCCACAGCAGCTAAAACCTATTAAGAAATATAAATACCAATTTTTACACCAATCCATGGAAACACGTGGCAAAAATTATCAAAATTTCGAATTTCGGGAGGTACTGTTATATGGGGGCTATACCAAAACGTAAACCTATATATACTATCTTACGCCTTCGGAACTAGAAGCCATTATCAACTACAAATAGCAATTTTTTAACAAATCAATGGAAAAATGTGACGAAAATCATAAATATACATAATATCGGGAGGTATCAATTACAATTTGCTATTCAACATTTGATACTGGAAGGTATGATTGTAATATGATAGGAAGTCTCACATTTAAGTGAATTTTTGACATTAGATTTCATTTTTAAATTTGAAAAGGCTTGAAAATTATAAAGGTTTCGTTATCGTCCATGTTCTTTAATTTGGGAAAGAAACATAAACAATTACTACACAAAAGTGGTTCGAAAAGTTATATATGAGTTCTCTACAAAGAAGAACTTTGAAAGGTCTAATATATATAGAAAACTATTCCAAGGTATAATAATTTTCCCATACATAGAGTTCCTTTAATTTTTTTTTTTTTTTCACCATTAGTATGAATTCTAAAAATGTTTCCGATTATATCCTCTTAAAAATGCCATAGGATTTCTGTCATACCTTGAAACCTTCCAAACAACAATGTGGCAATACTATAACCGTGCAGTAGTGCATCGCCCAGAAAAAAAGTAAAAAAATGAGAAAAAGAATTTTACAGCCTGACATAAAACAGATATCAGGCATACATACATACCTTCAGTTGCTCCTGTTTTTTCAACGCAAACATCATGGATAATGATAAATCTTTTCAGAAATTCTGGTGGAGGATACTATAACCACAAAAAGAAAAGAAATAAAAAATAAAATAAAATAAAAAATCAACGAAACAGACTTTAAGTTTAAACGTAAGAGAGTGAATAAAACGACAGATATCATTGGAAATGGACACTTAATGAATACAATAAAAAAAGAAACCAATAAATACACAAGCACACGCATACACACTCAATGTGATACGAATTATTGACATTGTGTTCCGCCAGACACCTTACAAACACTGGGACATCGCTGAAGGACAACAAGGGATAATTTAAAAAAGGAAATTAAGACAAATATCCCCAGTTTTTTCACACGCCACACAGTCAAGTGTTCGTGAATATCTGCAGCAATGTGTCAAAGTTAATTAAGATTGGAATCAAGAACAACGTTGGCTTATGGCGTTCATTTCTTGCGTTCTGTCTTGATTTCACATTTTGTTAATCAGAGTAGAAATTCCATTGATGAAACTGACACATCTGATGTGATACATAAATAAACAGACACGTTGGTCGCCGCTTTTAAGCAGTTGAAATCCCCTGAAGTGCCAATCCAATTTAAACTTGCAATGAAATATTTTATTTTAATAAAGAAAATTGTTGTTTTCATTTCAATAGCGAATTGAATTGTTGTGAAGTAAAAAATAAATTGTATCTTTACCGAATATCGTTAAAACTTAACACGATCACGAATGAAATTGGTATTCATTTAATAATGCGCCCATTTTAGGTTGTGCTATTTTCAAATTAAGTCTAGTTAAAGAATAACCGTTACAAGTAAAGAAAGGTCATAAGTTGGGCGGGCCCACTATATGATACCCTGCACAAGTATGCAGATTTAGTAACAAATATACGATTATATTGACCAATTATGTGCAATATATCATACCAACTATAAATCTCTTTGCAATGCGTATTATAGCTTTAGAGCAGTTATAATTAGAAATTAGGCGGAACTAATTTCCTGTTACACTAGTATTTGTATAGAGTGCATGATATGACTTCTTGAAGAATTATATTAAAACCATATGATACCCTACAACACTACAATATGTTGCAAGCCCCCTTATGTCCAAATTCTTTTTTCGTTTTTGAAATAATGTGATCCATTTTAAAGCTAATATAATCCAATGGCCATCCAAAATGCTGTTGTGGCCATCCAAAATGCATACAACATCTACAACATATATTGTTGGGGTTGTAGAAAAACTTTAGGACATGTACCATTTAAAACAAGTAAGCGAAGGCTATAGTCGTGCGGTCATGTCCGATCATGTTACAACACTACAATATGTTAGAAGCCCCCTTATGTCCAAATCCATTTTGAAAGATTTCGTTTTTGAAATTATGTCACCGAGCACCACCCAGATGTTACCCTTAGCATTTTGACCAGGGACATTTGTCCAATATTTACGCACGCCTTTGTGCTGTTAGTTGTTGTGGTCCATTTTACAGTTAAGTATAATCCAATGGTCATCCAAAATGCTAGAATTCTTCCCTGTCTTTAATTCTCTTCTCAGGCCTTTTGATTGACTTCAATTGTGTGTTCAGGAAATTTTTTTTGTTAATTTGAACCCCTAAATATTTTGCGATCATCTCAAACTGCAAGAGGTCCATTTATATCTCCAAATTTTGACTCATCTATATGATTTGCTTGTCTACGATATTTGTCTTTCTATATTCGTCAACGAAAAAAGCATAAAAAAGCCAGAAGTTCGCCTTTTGTGTATTTTGGATTTCGCCTGTAAGTTATTTTCAGCGTTTCGGTGGAATGGAAATGTTGGTAGTAGTGGTCCATTCTACCCGCTATCCTAAACTCTAACTTCATGCAAGATTTTGTGTCCTTTGGTTTCTATTTGTGACCTAAAAAAAGCTACAAAATCCGAAAAATTTTAATTGTTGATCCATATATTGCGAACATCTTTAAAAACAATAAGCCTAGACTGAAAACATCGCATGCGATAAAAATATGAAAAAATGTCACAAAATACTACAAAATCTATATTGACATCATTACTGACATCTTTTTATGCGATTTGTTTAGATTTTATTATTTTATGCCAAGAGGGCATTTTGAATTGACAAAATTTGTCAAAATCGGTCCAGCCATTCTTGAAATATATGCATTCTAGCTACCATCCCTATTTCACCCACTAAATACTACCCGATGACCATAAAAATTGGAAGACTTCTCCATGCTAACATCGATTGGTCTACAATTGCGACCTGTAGAGCAACTGCAAAATCAGGAAATTTTTCAGTTTTTGATCCATTTCAACCCCTAAATATTATCCGATCATCTCCAAAAATTATAGGGTTCTATTCTGGCTCTAGCCCCACCATTCTAAATTTCGTGAAGATAGGAGCATAATTGCGATCTGTACGACAGACGGACGGACAGACATACATAGCAAGATCGACTCAGCTCGGCGAGATAGAAAGATCCATATACACTTTCGTATGTGGGAAATCAATATTTCGAGGTGTTACATAATTTTTGGCCCAATCAAACTTATAATACCTCCAACACCTAGTGTTGTAGGGTATAATTATAAGTCAAATTGAAAAATATATTTTTATTTTATTTTCCCGCGATTTTCTTAGATTTTATCCTTTGCTGGCAAGAGACCATTCCGAATTGTGAAAATTCTCTCGACCCAGTTAGAAAAATATGAAGATCCATACATACATTCTTCTGTGCCGGACCAATATTTCGATGTGTTACATAACAACTAATATATATCGAAGCAATTAGGGCTTATATAACATATTGTTGACCGTATAGATATATATGGAAGCTACATCCTAATCTTAACCGATCTCGCTATTTTACTCGAGTTTTAGTATTTTTTAGTGCCAACTTTGCTTTCCAAAATACTCCAACGGATTGGTATCCGGAGATTTTGGTGGCCATTGTGCGCTGGAAATGAAGTGAGGAACCTCATTTTGTAACTATTCTTGGGTGGAGCGTGCTGAGTGCGATGTGTTGGAATGTCCAAGATCTGCGGCCAAAATGTTTGCCTGCCCAAGGCTATCATACATACTCGACAATATTTTCGCGAAAATATTCGGCATTTATTCTGATGCCACGGTCGATTAATACGAGCGGAGAGCGACCATCGGCTGTTATGATGGCCCACACCATCACCATTGCCGGCGCTTGAGTTCTGGTGGCCAATCGAAGGTGATCATTTTCAGCTGACCTCCTTTGCAAGTTAACATAACAATTTTGTTTGTTTACAAACTGCTGGACCACGAATGTTTTCTCATCGGAGAAAACCAAATTCGGCAGTTCACCACTTTCGATCAACCGAAGCAACTCTTTAGCTCTTTTGAGTCTATTTTCTTTCTGTTGCGGTTTAAGTTCTTGCATTCTTGGGAATTTCAATGGCTTACCCCGAACTCATTTCGTTTCGAACCATTTCTGCTGATGTTGCTGATTTCTTCCGTCCATTTCCTTGACGTCGGGCTACGCTACCAGTATCACGGTAACGAGCGAGGGTACGAGACACAAAAGATTTATCCACATATAAATGCTGGAGTGCTAACGATGGCCACTTGTGGTTTACCAGCCAAATATAAGGAAATCACAATATCACGCTTGAATTACATCACAAATAACTTTTTTTCTGGAAAATTCTCAACAAAATGCTTTTGTACGCTTGTAAATAATATAATGAGCTGTCACTGGAATAATTTTAACAGCTGTCGGACGAGTGGCTTAGAAGTGACAGCAGTCTGAAGTTGGTTGCAGTTTTTTCAACTCACCCGGTATGTGCAACCTTCTATCTAAGTGATAGCGTTATTACAACAGACAGATAGACGCAAATTCCGAAATGGTCTTACAATTGTACGCTGATCACGGATATATATTTCTTGTTGGCTCTAACATGGAATTTCGAGTCGTATCACATAGAATGACAAAGATAGCAATACATAATTTGATATTCGCAATGTCGATCATTTTACTTACATTATTTTACAAAAGTGCTTAAAATTTGGCATTAGAAACATTGTCTATATGGCTTCATCTCCTGTAGCTCCCATATAATGATACCTTTGGTATATTCAGTATTTTCATAATTTTAAAAACACTTTCAGAATATTATGTGACCCACTATTTCCTTTCGCTCCCATATAAAGGTATCGCCTAATATTCGGTATTTTGATGATTTTAGCCACATTTCTTCACGCAATTATTTCCAATATGGTACTTGAAATTCGCAACCCTTATGCAAAAATTTACAATTACAATTTTACTCCGACTACCAGATTGCCGTAGTTGGAGTAAAATTGTCATTGTAAATTTCTGCTATAAACGATATGACAAATACCATGTGTACCAAATGTTTGCATTTTATCTCAATTCTTTCGGAAGAAAGCGGAAATCGCCAAATCGACTTAGAATTTTACGCGGTTCAAGAATATATACTCTTTTGGGTCTAACATGAGAGTATCAAGTAGGTACAAGTGGGATGACATAATTAATATACCCTCCATAGTATGGTGGAGTGTAAAAAATTATGAAGATTACTAATTTCGCCATGTTAACGCCGAAGTCCATGTATTTTTTTATTTCGCCAATAGCACAACTAAGTCCTCGAAGTTAAAAGTGAACAAGCAATGACATAAGACGATAGACCCCCCTTCTTAATCAACCTCAACCACCATATTCATTATAAGTAATTGACAACTTCGAGGGTCAAAGGACATACTGCCATAAACGTTACAAATAACTCAATCCTTTTTCTCACATTTTTCAACTTCAACATTTTTTTTTCTACTTTATTTTACTTACACTTCCCATGTCTAAAGTAATTAAATTGTTAGCTTACGTTCTCATCGCGACGTGGTTTTTGTGCCGACACTAAAAACGGCATCAATATCAGGACTGGCAGGACAATTAAAAATCTTTTTTCCATTCTGCTCGTTAGATGTCTTGTTCGAGTTCCGAGTTCAATACAACACAGTTTTGGGCGAATGGAGGAAAATTACGACTTTTAACGCGAGTTCGTTTTTAGTTGTTGCTGTTGCTGTTGCAGTTGTCGTTGTTTTGTTGTTCTTGCTGTCTTTCGGCCGCTAAACTGCGTGCCCGACCAGAGGATGAATCGATGAATACGACTTGATTTACATTTGTAATTGCTTTATTTGAAATTCCAAAGTGTATTTTATAGTTCCATTTCGGATTGCTGCTACTGCCACTGAAGCTGCTGCTACTTCTGATGCGCCTGCTGTAGGCACCAATTGCTTATGCCAGCACTCGCCATCGTCATCATCGTGGCATACAAATTGTTACTTTAGAGTTTTGCTGTGATACCGTAATTACAATTTTCCCAACATTGTTCTTGAAAGCAGCAATAAATTCCGCTTACAAATCCATACTCCGAAGCGGCAACAATAAAAAAATTGTCACTTTGTTGTGCTGCCCAATGATGATTGTACGTTTGATTGTTTATTTGTTTGTTTGTCTGTCTGTCTGTCTGTTGTGGTGATAGGCGTACAAATGTCATGTCATGTCATACTCTCAAACTGGTACCCGTACTCGTTACGTTACACCTACAATTGATTTGCAATCTGATTGTTAGGGCGTTACCTTAACTTTGCCATTTTCATTCTCCTTCCATTCATTCATTCATCAATCCATCAACATCAACAAGTGTTTTAATGATGAGTTGAGTATTGATTTAATTGAATACAATTTGTGTTAGAGTTGTTTGGTTTTATTGCTGTTTTTTACAATGTCATAATGAAGACTCAAATTAAATGGGTTTTATGACGAATAAATTATTAAATTTGTAAAGAATAAAATTTGTGGTTGATTTAGGGGAAGTAGTTCAACTGCGATGTTACTAGTATACGAAACGTGAAATAGTGTACACTTTATTGCCACAAAAAAAAAACTTTTCTTTGGAAAGAATTAATTTTTGTAACCACCACCAATTTGTTATTGTGTTTATAACTCCTCGAAATAATTACTTTTGATCCACTAAAGTATATATATATTTTTATATAAATATATATTAGCAAGTAGCTGCTACATCGTCTGCGAAAAGACAACAAAGAATACTATTAAAATGTTTATCTTTTGCTCCAAAAAGTCTTAAAAATCTCTAATTTTTAAATTTACTGGGGAGAATAGTAATAAAACCATTGTTCAATGAACCCACATTCATTTTTGGTATCCAAAATTATTTCAACATTTCCATATGTAAATCCTAGAAACCAAGAGTGACCTCAATATCAACATCCCTTCACAAAAAAATAAATGTAATAACATTTAGTACTCATATCCAAAACATTCTACATCTCTACATCTTAGAGCGATCTAAAATTAAGAGCGATCTAAAATTAGTTCTATTTAGTACTTTAGCAAAACGACCATCAGATACCCACAGAGACCTCAATATTGAATTTGGGATTTCATCTCTGTATATTTACTTAACACCACATTTAGTAATATTTAGTTATTTCCGTATCATTTTAGGATTAGCAAGACCGTATCATACCTCAATTCCAGATGCCAACAAACCCCTCAATATCCAATTTAGGATTCTAGCCCAATCCTGTTAACCAATACCAAGTTTTTTTTTTTTCATTTAGTAATTTTCGTACAATATAGAGGGTGAGAAGAAAAGACAGCAACCAACTTCAAACTGCTGCTAAATTATTCCAGTGACAGCTCATTATATTGTTTACAAACGTACAAAACCATTTTGGTGAGAAATTTCCAGAAAAAAAGTTATTCGTGATGGAATTCAAGCGTGATAGTGTGATTTATTTATATTTGGCTCGAAAACCACAAGTGGCTATCGTTAGAGCACTCCAGCATTTAAATGTGAATAAATCTTTTGTGTCTCGTACCACGGCTCGTTACCGTGATACTGGTAACGACGACGGCTTAGCACGACGTCAAGAAAGTGGACGGAAGAAAACCGCAACATCAGCAGAAATGGTTTGAAAAGTAAAGAAGCGACTTGATCGAAACCAGCGCCGCAGTGGCCCAAAAATGGATTGTGACTGAACATATCGCAATGTTCCATTCGGCAAATATTGAAAAATGAACTCGAGGTAAAGCCATTATAATTCCAAAAAGTGCAAGAACTTACACCGTAATAGAAAAAAAATAGACTCAAAAGAGCTAAATGATCGTGTTTACTTGCCGTAGAGGTCAGCTGAAAATGTGAACCTTCGGTTGGCCACCAGAACTCAAGTGCCGGCCATGGTGGTTGTGTGGGCCGCCATAACAGCCAATGATCGCTCTTCGCTTCGGCCGCAGACCTTGGACATTCCAACAGGACTCAGTACCATAGCACTCAGCACGCGCCACGCAAGAATGGTCTCAAAATGAGGTTCCTCGCTTCATTTTGAGCACACAATGGCCACCAAAATCTCCGAATACCAATCCGTTGGTACCAGATTTCTTATAAAGCTCGGAAATACCTTTGCCAAATTTTATCAAGATCGGTTCAGATTTGGATATAGGTCCCATATATATCTTCGACCCATTTAAAGTTAATTGCACCAAACGACCTATATATGTCAAAAGTCCTGAATTTTGGTACATCCGATCGAATTGAGTCTAGAAGCAAGTACATTAAACATATATATGTTTCATCCGATTTGATGTTTAAGTTTTTTTAAATTCGTAATATGCATTCGACCACAATGATATTTGGTTCCAGAGCTCGGGAATACCTCTGCTAAATGCTATCAAGATCGGTTCAGATTTAGATATAGGTCTCCTATATATCTTTAACCGATTTCGGGTTAATTGTGCACCAAATGGCCAATATGTATCAAAAAGTCCTGAATTGTGGAGCTCTACTACATATGCATAGTGGTGTAGGGTATCATATAGTCGGCCCCGTCCGACTTATGACTTTTCCTTACTGGTTTTATTTCTATCCGTTCACATGGTCTGAAATTGTGCCATTTTAGAAGTTGTAGAATTATGCCATTTTAGAAGTTTAGTACTATATTAGAACTTTTGTGAATCTTAAAGTTCGAATTTTCAATAACACTTTGGTATATCTATTCTGTTCTTCGGTATTATTCATAACATTATAGTATGAATTTTCTAATTTTCAAACACCAAGACTTGCCTTCGAGCAAAATTTCAAGATCCAAGTTTCAGCCATTTCGTTTGGTCGTTGATTCGAGATCTGCCAGCCAGTCAGTTATTTCACTACTCGTTTATATATAAAGGTGTACGGCTCATATAGGTCCATGTTTTGGTATAGCGAGATTTAAGGCGTTTTTAGACATAGTTTATACCGAATTTGGTGTAAATTGGTGGTAGATAATTTCCATTTTCCTATAGACCAATAGATATCCCAATATACGCTTGCAAATTACGATTATTAGACAAATGTTATCGATATTTTCGATATTTTACCATATATTGACAAAGTGGTATGGTAGTCATACACTGAAAGGCGGAGAGACTTCTCGTTTTAGACTTTGTCGCTGGTCATTATTACGAATAGTCTATAATGGTTATTTCCACCAACGTAATATTATCTTTAACCATAAAATGCATGGTATAAATTGGAATTCTGTTCCACAGTGTTTTTAAGTAGCTGTGTGGGAGGGTATTTATTTCATCACTATAAAAGCAAATAATATATTGCATTTACATTGTACAAAGTTATAATAAACGTGTCAAAATAATGACTTAATTCACAACCACAGATTTAACAAATCATGCAACCGTAATGAGAGATCATTGAAACACCCTTACGATGATATAAAATATGCAACTATGAATGTACATTACATTTCAATATTGTTGTACCATACTATTTGATATACGTCCATTTGGAAATGCAGTGTTTAAAAGCAATATTTGAAAATGCAAATTTGTTATATTCAATAGTATCAATTCAAATGGTACACATCAACTAATCAAGAAACCACAATTAATTTCAATCGCATTGAAATCATAAATTGAAAACCTAATTGCAATTTAAATTACTTTATTTAAGATGTTTCTTCAGCCATTTTGTTTACCCCACTTCAAAGGCCAATAAGTCTAGAATACAAAACTTTCCTTGGGTTTCTGACATAACCAGCGACTCTAAAAATATTTACTTTCACAACGGCAAAGAGGAAAAGGATGCTGGTGATTTAGCCTGTAAAAGAAGAAGATATACATTTCCATGTCACATTTTATTTAGATGAAAATTTTAATTTGGTCGCCAACCATTTCCAAGGCTAACTGCACCATCATTTTGTTTATTTTTTTCTGAAATTTGTTTAGTAGTTGTTTGGAATTTTAGTTTTAGTTTCGTGCACCCTTACCCTTAACAAGCATTCCTGCTGTGTTTCACTCCTTGAGAGATGTATTATAATGCACACAACAGCGTTATTTTGAATGTTTTGTCAGTCTTATTTATACTGGCAGCGAGGAAACTTTTTTTTTGAAGAACATTTTATGGTGGGATATCACAATAATTAAAGGTAAATGAGTTGACAAATACTACAATTGAGAAATGATATATATAGTATGGAATAGTAAAATATTTAAAAATCGTGGAGTTTTTAAAGATTTTCCCAAGGCTCTAGGTTAGGTTAGAGGATGCACGGTTGCTAAGCAACCGCTCCACTCGGAAACCTGCTGGTCCATTGTGATCATCCTGATAGAGTAAAAATATAAAAGTAGAGAGAGAAAGAAAAAGCATATGTTGGAAGAATGTATCCACGAAGAATTTATCTTGTTGTCTACAGCCAAGGACAAAGGACTTCACTTTTTGCAGAGCAATCCTGCACTACAAGACTGTCATAGATTTGATGGTGGATTAATTTAGCGCTTCTAGGGCAGCTTGACTATCGACTAACAGGGTGAGATAAAAAAACTGCAACAAAGTCAAACGCCATAAATTTTAATTTTTTCTTAATTTTATTGAATGAAAGCAAAAAATGTCGGAAATAGCATCAAATTTTAGAATAACTTTAGATTTGTTCGAAATGGTCACCTTTGGCACGAATTATGGCCTCCAAACCGCCAATGAAACCGTTACACGCTGCCCGAATATTGAATTTTGACACATTCCCGGCGAAGTGCTTGATTGGGGTGATCGACACTTTGGTATTTTTTATTGTCAACCTTGCTTTCCAAAATACTCCAGACACAATAGTCCAACGGATTGGTATCCGACGATTTTGGTAGTTATTGTGCGCTGTACATAAAGCTAGG